TTACCTGATTCCAGTTTTGAATAGTTGGTTTCTCTGAAGCTCGAACAGCTTTATTCATTGCAAAGGAGATATCTGGACGAGACGCAGTTGCAAGATACACGAGACAGTCCACTGCCTCGCGATAGGGTATATCAGATGACACTGCCTCGTCGAGATCACTTTCTTCACAGCCAACAGGGGTTGAGACTGCATTTGATTCAGGAAATTTGGAATCTTTCTAATATTCTTTTTGTGTAATTTTCTTGACTTACTGTAATTGATCCATCTTCATATTGTTTTATTTTCATCCCAAGAAAATTGTCGCGAGACCCTGTCGTCATATTAAATTCGTGTTGTAGAGATCTCAAAAAATCAGCGATTTTTTTTGTCACTGCTGACAATAAGACCATCATCTACATAAATTGCGATATAGAGTTGCCTTTTATTCTAGCTTCGATAAAAAAAAAAAAAACAAGGATCTGCAGTACTGTTTTGAAAACTTGCTTTCTTCATAAATTCGATGAATCGTTTATTCCGGCAACGTGGTGCCTGCTTCAGCCCATACAGACTTTTTTCAGGAGACATACTGGACCGGTACCATCATCAAAACCCTCTGGTTGTTTCAAATACACTTTCTCTTCAAGTATGCCATTGAGGAAAGCTGTCTTTACGTCAAACTTCCAATTGCATATTATTGCAGCTGCAACCACTAACAAGATCCGAATGGTGTCATAGCGTGCAACAGGACTAAATATTTCTTCGTAGTAAATTCCTGGTTTTTGAGCATGACCTTTTGCAACTAACCGAGCTTTGAAGCGAGTGCTTCCATCACTTTTAGTTTTCTTGCGCAGAACCCAACGATTTTTCACAACTTGTGCATCCTTCGGACGTTCGACTAACCTCCATGTATCGTTTCGTTTTAGAGATTCCATTTCCTCATGAATGGCATGCATCCATAGCTCTCTCTCGTTCGATTGCAATACAGTACTTCAAAAAATGAGTCTTTGTATTCCCCAGCAATAACTGATGTCATCATTAAAAATTCATTGCTTTCCATCCAGCATGGTTTATCTCGCTGTCTCTTGCTTCTTCAGTTTTCTTTGTCAGAAATTTCCATCCTTATCGTTAACATACCAATAGCTTTATTGTCAAACTTCGATCGAAAATTCTTGTTTACACGTACGTAGCATCCAGTGCCGAAGATTCTCAGATGATCAAGTCTTCCTACTGGTCTACCATACATAATTTATAAGGAGCTCTGTTCTGAACTGAAGATTTTCCAGTACGATTCAAAAGATATACGGTGTTGCATGCTTCTGCCCACAATCCTTTTGGTAATTTGCTTGGATTCAACATAGAACGTACTGTTTCCACAATGGTACGATTTTCGCGTTCAGCTGCACCATTTTGCTCAGGGTATAAGGTGAAGGAATCCATTGTTCTATTCCTTTGTTTGCGAGCAATTCAGCGACTCTTTTGTTGACAAACTCCGTATCTCCATCACATCTGTTTGACAACATGTCCATTTGTTCTAGCTTCATTTAAAAATTGCTCAAGCACATCACATACTTCGCTTTTCTGTTTTAAAAAGAAAATTCGTCGAAACTTGCTGAAGTCATCCTTGAAACATACGTAGTGACGTGCTCCTCCTAAAGATTCGGTGGACATTGGTCCATTCACATCTGCATGGATCAATTCACCAGCAACTGTTGGACGATTCATTCTTTACTTAAATGGTAGTCTATGCATTTTTCCCAAAGCACATCATCCATCACAGAATTCTTCTTTGCAACCTTCCACGTTGATGTTCATTTGCTTTACGTGTTATTTATTTTGATGACCAAACCTTTCATGGTACACTTGTAGAGTATCAGACGTTGTCACCAAATTCACCTGAATGTTTTTATGTGGTTTTACAAAGCATATATCGAGCATGTACAGACCATTTTTCATGTAACCAATCATGACAGTGTTCTCACCGATTTTGTCTCGAATTTTAACACTTCTGTCATCGATTACTATCCTGTAGCCGTTCGATGCTGCTGCTCTGACGGAAAACAAGTGGACACTCGCATCAGGGACATACAAAACATTTTTCATTTCAGCATTATATCAGATATTGTTTCGTCGAACTTGAATCCTTATTGTTCCTTATCCGTGTGCATACTCACATTTTGCTTTCCAAGTGAGATTACTTCAGGAACAACAAATTCTCTATATGAGGCGAAGTATTATTTGTTTGGGGTAATATGCTTAGTCGCACCACTATCACAATACCATTTATTTGCATCAATGTAGTTTCCAATCGACGCGCCCATGACATGTGAAATGAATACGACATTGGCACTTCGTTGCTTATTAGTCCCGACACCTGTCTCTTTCTGCGGACAATCTGCTGCCCAATGACCCAATTGTTTGCGTTTGTTACAAGGAAATTTTTGTTTTGCACGTTCCACTGACATTTTTGTTTTTGCAGAATTCTGCTTCTTTTTATACTCGCCAGAAGCGACAAACGCATTTGTTTCGGCTGTGCCTCGATCACGCAGTTCAATCGTGCACAGTTTTTCAATGAGTAAGTTCAAACCTTGATTTTTTTGACGGAATCGTGTCCCAAAGGTATTTGAAATTATCATAGTCTTTTCCCAATGTAGATAAAATTCGGCCGTTTAATATTCTTTCAGACAAAGTATTTTCTTCGTCTTTCGTTAATTCGTCGTTTAAATCAACAAATAACTTTTGTAATTTGGCAACGCGTGTGCTAACGTCCTCCTCCTCATCCCATTTAACCCGAAAGAAGGCTTCAGTTAACATGTTTAAACGTTGCGTACTGCTGCTCTCAAATCGCGCACGTAATTTATCCCAAATTTCTTTAGCATCGTTGCACGTCGACACGAGCTCAGCAACTGGTTTACTTAGGTACTTGCTATTAAACTTGCCTCCCTCGCGTCGTCTTTCTGCCCCTCAGCGTATGTTACCTTTTGTTCCCTCGTCGGTTCTGTTGGTACTCAATACGCACACGTTTTTCGTTAATAATAAGTTATCTTCTAATCCGTATGAACGCAACACCATAGAAGCGCGCCATTACCATTTTACCCAGTCTTCAGGCCCTTCGAGCTTATCTACATTTACCTTGTAATCCCCGCCGACAGCCATTTTCCTTCTATTCGTTCTCGTTCGCACGTATTCAACCGAGTATAACTTCAGAGGCGCACCACAATGATCTCTTTCATTTAAGACTATACTTTTCTTATTTTCACGTGGACTGGGTCCATAACCTATTACTTTTTATTGAAATAAATTACTTTACACGTAGACTTCACGAGAAAACGACATGGCTGACTTTCATGCGGTTTCTTTACATTATATATATATAAAAAAAAAAACGTTAACTCTGCTGCTACGCCACAGAGGGAGACTTGTCATATTTTTTCTTTTTATTACAACAGTTTTCATTAACAATTTTGACAATCATTGTTTTTAAATTAAAACTAAATCCTACGACCCAATTGTAGAAATATATTTAGCATTTTATTACCAAATCACATCTTTATTAGCAATAAATAAAAACAAGGAATAATGTAGGCTATATCATAACTCACAACTTCATATGTATTGTTCTTTTATCATTGTTTTCAGCGTTAAATAATTATTGGTTATCGAGGTATGTTTCTTTCCTCTTATGTAAGAAATAATTTTCTTTTCAACTTTTACTTCTTCATAAAGTGACAAATTAATTTCTGAATAAAAAAAAAAACAAAAAAGAAATGGCATCTTTAATGTAAAAACCTTGGGCTATTTATTCGATCGAAAAACGATTTATTTTTATCGTATCTAATTTATCTGTTAAGTAAATATATCGTGCCAAGGTCGGCCAATCAAACAGCTATTATTAATAATTTTTTTATAAGATTTTTTGGCAAATTTCCTTCGTTTTTATCGCCGACGAATACAATACTTTTGTAAAGAAAAATTTTACGCCCATCACAAATTGGTTTTATGATATTATGTAAAATTGAGACGGACTTAATTAAAAAAACAGTTTTCTGATCTACGTCATAAGTTAAGAAAGATAATCAATTCTTATTAAATATTTATATTATTAATCTAAAAAGAATTCGCAAAAGAATTTTTAAAATGATTCTCTATTGTAATTTTTAAAAAAAATTAAATAATACAGAACTCTTTTTACAATAGAAGGAATGAACGTTTAAAGTAGTATTAATAATAATAATAATAATAATAATAGCTTAAAGGTAAATATTAAACTATATTTTTTCAAGGTTGTTCGTGTAACTAGATTTTCGAACTCGTAATGAATAATTCAATAATTAATTTTACATTCGAAATTAATTTGTATTAAGAATTTCAATCATTAAAGCGATAATAATTTCAATCTATTTTGGGAAAGAGGTGCATAAAATCACCTGCTAATTAAATAAATATTTATTATAAGCAACCCCCTCCCCGCATTTAGTTAGAGGTACGCGCATTGGAGGATTATCGTATATTTACGAAAGACATTTAAACAATTCCCATTGTTATTAAATAATTGTTATTAAATTTTTTTCCTTTTGAAAACCGGAATTTCTCTTCAAATGAATTTAAAATATGTTCTGTATCTTCGTTATCTTTTATTTTCGTATACATAAATAAATAAGGAATATCGTATAATTCGATTTATTACCGTATTTTACGTATTTAAGTGTTTAGATATTCAATTTCTGTCGTTAATTTCCCTTAAAATTCAAAACGAAAAAAACGTTAATAGCTGTGGATTTTAATATAAGCGGAAATAATTATGTTAATAAACAAGAAATAGGTAAAATTCAAACTCTGGTAATGTATAAATTTCGTATCTATTATTATACACTCAGACAAGGAAAACGTAGTTTAGCTGCGGGCGGAATCGAACTCTTGTCCTTGACAACGTGCGTAGTGAACAATTACACACGTGTTTGAATACCGAAATTTCTTCTGATTGCATGTTTATTTTATTTAAATGGTCACTGATTTTCTACTTTAGACGACGAAGGAAAGAAAATAACTATCACTTTTACTATCGACGACAACTATTAACATCGATCTAAAACCGACAACGTATTCGATCGTTTATATGTAATTAACGCGAAATCTCTTTATAAACGACGTGTTCCGTGCATTTTTCTAAATACCCGGAAGAGAGAAAACCGGATACGTAAGAAATTCTTATGACTGTGAGCAATTCAATGCGTGTTTTACCTCCCCCTCCCCTAAAATCCGATTGGATGCCCGGACACGCACGCCACTGTCAGTCCTCCGGCTTCGTAACATCATAAACACAGAAGTCGCCAACTACAAAAGTAGAACGTTGGTAAAGTGGAACGGCGACTTCTCATGGCTTCTTTGGATAAATTAACCCCGATTGAACTACAGACTTTGCACGAGGTAAATTTTTAATATAATAATTTTTAACTTATAATGTTACGAACAATTATACCTCGATACGAATGATGTGTCTTAGGTAACTCGATCCATGAAAATAATATTTAAATATATATATTATATACCTGGAAATATATTAGAGAATGATTATTAAACTAATTTATTTCGAACGATGACCCGTAAATGTGTGAAACATATAAAAAAAAAAGGAAATTAATTATGACGGATTTGGCCTATTATATTTAAATTTGAAAGATTGTTATGTGTTTTTATTATTTGGTCGTACGTATAAACCGGTATCGAGTTATATTTACATATGTACAGGTATTTTATTAACGAAACCATTAAAGTTATTTCGCTGTCCAAACAATAAGAAGAAAAAAACCCCCCCTTTTGTTAGCCGAATCGCCATTTTCCCCATTGTAAACTGTCCAGAATACCAGAATGTTATTCGAGACGAAGAATTTATAGGATAATTTATTTCGAAACAGATTTTTAATAATAATAATTTTGTAAAATTCGAATGTTTTCGACAATTTGATATTGTTAAAACATTAATTAAACGACTCGAGTATTCACTCTCACATTTATAATATAACAATATCACGAGTTTTATATTCTATATTATTTGAATGTAAATATTCAATCTTCTCTTTACTAATTTTGGATTATCCAAAGGGGGAATGTCACACAAAACTGAAATTTTCATACCAAAAATGTTGTTAGTTCAATTTTCACGTCACACGCGCTCGCAATATACAGTACACAGTACATTAACTTTATTTCGTAATTATTCGTTTCGTCAAAATATTCGTGTCTAATTGAAAATGTCACAAACATTATATTCTTGCGGAAAAGACCAGTTTATAGATGAGAAAATTAAATTTTTAATACAATTTACGTATGTTTAAGCTATTTCGGATATTGTATTATTGCATTTTGAATGTCTGAGTGGATAGATAATACCACTAAATGTTAGTAGGGGTCGGCCACGTGGAGTTTTTCTGGTTTTCTTCACGCATCAAACATTCAAATGGGTGTCAATTCTCCGTAGAAAGTCTTTCTGGGTGGCAGATCGCCCGGTGTTGCGTTGCCGTATAGCACCGAACCCACCCATGTTACCTCGAAATTTTATTGTTGACAGCTTATATATATATATAAGCTGTCGAGGAAACAATATAATGTTTAATAAATTGTAGAATACGTAAGTAGAACAAGGAAAGTGTAGTAGCCTGTACGAGTACAATATAATTGACTGTTAATGAACTACATTTAGTACTAAACGTGATTTTTATTGCATTATTTCAAAATGCAGAATATCTTAAAAAATATAATAAAAAAATGATAAAAATAATTTTTTTTTTAATTTCCTATTACGTTTAATTTACTTCCAATAGAAAAGTAAATTTTAGGCTTATTAATTTATTACTTTCCTCAAATCGTTTTCTTTAGATATAATCCGTTGTTAATTCGTATAATTTCCTTAAACATTGGAATCCTATAACACGAGCGATAAAAGTATATTATTAGATTTTAATGACTTTTCAAATACTAATAATAAAATAAATGAAAATTAAAATGAAATTTCATTGTTATTTTACAGTTTCGTAAATCTGTCGGAGACGTTCTACAAAGCAAACACGACGACGCATTTTTGCTTCGATGGCTTCGAGGTTTGTATTGTTTTATTCGTTGTTAAATTATTTTAACTGGCGAAATAAATTCTAATTGGTTCAAAAGACTGCTATACAGTCGACCCCCTATAACACTGTTGATTATTCCGTTTTATATGAATTCCATGTTGTACGAGTCACTTAGATTTTACAAATACGTGAGACGTTTACAGCCAGGTACACGTATTTGTAAAATCTAAGTGACTCGTGCAACATGGAATTCATATAAAACGGAATTATCAACAGTGTTATAGGGGGATCAACTGGTAATCGAAATTATATCTCCTGGGAATAATTTTTTCCCATTCTTCAATGGGACACGAAGTTTTAAGGTTTGAACAGATGTCTTTTTCTTCATTTATTTTACTTCGTAATTCTATATATTAATAAAAGTTTGTGTGTGTTTTTTTTAATACTTGTCATTAAAAAAATATTTATTTTCCGGTCGAAATTCTAAATTACGAACTTTTGTCGTTAATTTTTATTGTTCGGTGTTTGACGACGGAAGAATCAACATTTGCATCCGTCGGTAACTGACGAAAGAAATAACAATAGAATAATAAAAATGGGAAGAGCAGGCTTCGTTTACATAAACGGAGAACAGCCTTTACTTCCGGTTTTATTATACGAGAGAGTTTCGTTTAAATAATTATTTTAGAAATTGTAAAAAGGGCTTAAATTGTAAGACAAAAGTTGATCACACAGCGACGGGCTTTGTTAAGGGAGGACACACGGGGTTAACATTTAATCACTCGCGTAATATTTTAATGGCAAAATACTCAATTATTGGCTCAAACTGAAAGTTCTTTCCAGAAACACTCGATCACTATTATGTCTAAATACTCATTTTTATCGATTATCGCTATCTCATAGATCTTTCTTTTTGTTATCGTTCCATCGATTACATGTCTCCAAGGTCTATAAACATAAGGTCGGGACACCAATGTTCCCTATGGAGCCGCCATTTTGGATCCTCAGTTCCAAGGTCGCGGTATAGATTTCATGCTATCTAAGTGCTGTAAACTGCACGTTCCTTCGAGTTCGAACCAAAGAATTCCTTTTATAATTTCAAATAAAGTATTTTTTCATTTAGGGGTTACTCTGACCCATAATTAAAGGCTTTAACAAAGTAGGATTCAAAATAAAAAGCTATGTCAATGGTTCGTATAATAAAGTACGAGGATAAATTTATTTAGTTTTGAAATGCAAAATTAGAGAAGTTTAGTTGAGGGGTATATCGTCTTAATGTCCAATACCGTCATATATCTTCCTCTTTTGATTTTTCATATTCGTTTTCTGGAGCAATTCTAGAGGTTTTATGCTGTATTCGTGTAGTGGCATGTGTGCATTAATAAAGCCTTCGAGTAAACGTTCTAGGATTATCGTACGTGAATAGCATTTATCAACCACTGGTCTTGTACTTCTTTCTGGTTTATGTGTCTTGACGAACTCGAACAGTCGGAGTTCGCCAAGACACATAAACCGACCACTACTTTCTTCATTCCGAATTCTTTTGCAAGGATTGTGCTAGAAACACGCTGTATGTAAACGTTCCAAAGCACGTGGGTGGGCTGTCTTGTATTGCTTTTCTTTTATGTACTGTATCTTATTAAGACCGCGTTATATGTGGATCTTTTTATTAACACCATGTCCTTCGATTGTTGGCTCTTGTAAGCACTATATTATTTTCATTCATCCATTTTCTGCTTTTTCTTATATCTTTCCATATTGGGTTGCGCCTTGTTCTTGTGTAGTCGTTATTTTAAATGCTGTTTTCCATCTAAATCGTCAAAAAATCCGCCGACTCCGACCCCCTTTTACTTACCAACTTGTTATGTATATGAAACGGAGTCGGAGTCGGATGGTAAGGAAGAGTCGGAGTTGCAGTCGGTAGATTTTTACGCGACTCCACAGCCGTGATATTAACTTAATACAGTAAAACCTGTCTATGGCGACCACCCCCGGTTCCTTCAAAAAGTGGTCTTTTAGACAGGTTGTGCTGTAATACCGTATTTCCGTGCGCACTTTTTAGCCATTTCTACTAAGCAAAACTCCAGGCGAGCAAAAATAAGCGAATTTTTTCAACGATAGGGCTATAGTGGTATTGTATTTTATTCTTATCGGATAACCCGATTTACAGGAGTCGTCAAGATATTATAAGACAGATTTAATACCAATATCTTAAAGATTAATACAATACTCTCATTTTCTCGATTATAATGCACACTTTCTTTTTTCCGATTTAATTAATTCGACTCGGTTCTTTTCGTTCGCTTCTCAGTTACGTGTATTTACGTCATCAATATAAAACCGCGTCCTATCTCTCCATCACTTTGCTTTTCGTTAGTTCAATCTTATTTTAACTTTAAAAACACAGTATTTTTTAAATATTTAATATTTTCTTAATTAAGTACAATAAGAAAAATTATTAATTAATAATAAATATTATTTTTTCTCATGATACGATTTCATTACAATCGCGGAATCGAAAAAGGAAGTAAAACTGATTTTTGCATTAATGCATTTATAGTTTTTTGAATATTTTGCCTGCGAAAATTACTTGGAAATTATTTTTCTAAAAATATCGCGGAAATAAGGTAGGTTGATACAGAAACTATTTATCGCGCGTGTACTGTATATGAGCTTCAAAATAAATAAATAAAAATCTACCTGCCTTCTCAGCAATGCTATCTATTTATAATAATAAATCACACACACCTGATTTTTATTTGCCGAGTTATTTTGTTTATTCTAACGTTTTCTTACGTTGGAATAAACAAAATAACTCGGCAAATACAAATCAGGTGTGTGTGATTTATTATTATAAATAAATAAAAATGGATTTTATCAAACGTTGAGATCGGCCGATTAATTAATTGTATCGTGTACAATATTTTACACCCCCCAAGGAAAATACTGTAGGTCTAGGGTAAAATAAATTTTGTTTTCCCACAGTTAAACTTCGCCGCTAATTGCTGTTGTGATAACTAATACGATCTTCTAACGACAGCACTTTGCATTTCGGACATTTTCCAACAAACTGAAATGAATTTCCTTTGTTGCTAGATTAATTTATTAACACCTGCACCTAATTTCGAGGGTGGGAGAAGTGCCCGGGATGGGTTCGAACGAGAGTTTAGACTAATTCATTATTGGTGCGTTTACTTTTTGCTAGCTTCCAAGCTTGTCGAGCTGATACCTAGCTCAGCCTGACGTCATACACGCTCGTAAAAGTATACACAGTAATGGACGCCGCCATCTGTGAACAAACTCCAAGCTCGTTGTAAATTCTCCGAGCACGCCAGGAATGCTAGCAATGACGTCACGAGTGCGAAAAGTAAATGCCGTGCTCATTGGTAGCTAACAAAAAGTACACAGGCTGAGCGCGCTAGGGGCGAGATCGGAGCTAAGTAAACGCACCCTATATTAGGAGATGGAAACGTTGTTGAGATGGGTTCTTACAATAGTTTAGACCAGATACATTCGCAAAAGTGGTCGCTTATTACAGGTGTTGTATGTTGTTTCGGACCAAAAATCGATGCCCGCGGTCGAGTTACACGGATGGTCGTTTAATACAGGTAACTTATACGAAGACTCTATGAATAAACTACTCCGTGCCAGAAATTTTTGCCCATTTTGACAAGTGCCCGTCGAATGCGGGTGGTCGCCTAAGCAGTTTTCACTGTATTTCATTTTCTCCAGAGAAGCCGGGTATTTCAGCTAGTTACATAAACTACTAGGCTATATTATAATTGTATAAAAAAAAGTATACAATATGACAATAAATTCATAAAAATTACAAACTCTTGTTATAATTTTAATAAAATCATTAAAAGGAAAAGCAAAATGTAATTATTTCTAAAATTTATTTTCAGCTAGAGATTTTAGACTGAAAGATGCAGAAGACATGTTAAGAAAGGTTTGTTATATTTTATATTTTTGTTTAATCGTTATTAACATTTACAATTTTTATTTTTTTAACTCATCATTACCCTCAAAATTAAGCTTCTTGTCATTCGATAATAATTAAAAATATAAAAAGTTATAAGTAAAGGTTTCTTCTTCCAATAGACTAGTGGTATTTATCATGTCTTTCTTCATTATTCTCAATTAACAGAGACAAGATTAAAACAGTTCACTTTATTTCGCCTATTTAACAGTGCATTTCGGATTGGTAATTTTCCAATCCCTCTTCGAGCTTCACTGTCTACAAACTACATTTAGACGAAAAAAAAAAAAGATTCTAAAGTGATAATTCCGCCTAACACGTGATACAGACTTCGATGTTTTGACTTAAAATAAAATGGCGGTCAATAGTACCGGTCGTGCCACCAAGAACGCTGTATCTAAGATCATAGCCACTCTATGTAGTATATTATAGCTCGTTGAACGTAACACAGGAAAGTATTGCAATCATCAAATTTTTACTTATTTTAGCGATCGGGAAGTAACCCATGGTACATTCCCGACCGCTAAAATATAATATATACAGTAGAACCTCGATTATCCGCCCTAATTGGGGACTGGGGTTGGTCGGATAATTGAAAAGTCGGATAACCGAAAAGTATGAAAAAATCCATTATTAGTGTAGTATATTATTATATCCCATGTAATTAGTATATTAGTATATCGCTATTAACCTATTTTGCGTTGAATTTTCATCGATGTTAAGCCTAACAAAAATTTTTTAAAATAATAATCGTCGCTATTGTATCGTTAAAAATTAGAAAATTAAGCTTCGTTTAAATACTGGCTCCCTTTCATGGTCGAATGAGTGTTGCCAGCTAAAACACGTAAAAATAATATTAAAGTAGCCAAGACATAGCCAAATATTGTAGCACCACATCACTAGCGGACATTTGAAATTTGCCGACTAGGACGGTCGGTTAACCGAGGGGGTCGGATAATCGAGGTTCTACTATATTATCATCACATTTACCCTCCGAATTCTTGGAATCGTGATGTTTTAATCGAAAAAACTGTTACCAGAAATATTTTTTGTGGTAATCGTGGAATTTGTATATAAGTAGCATAGATAAAACGAGCAATTATTTATTGTGACATTATCACGATGCCGAGCTGCATTTTTAATCATATTTTTAATTTATTTAATTTAAAATATATGCTCTCCAAACGAAATTGTGTATGATACGAAATCATTTATTATTAATATAAAAGGTATATTTTTAATGAATTTCATAACAGCTGGGAATGTTACACAATTCGTTGCTAAATTCTTTCCTTGTCAAACAAATAAATTATTTATATACAGTACTGTGTTCAAAACGAGAATTATATTTTTAGTCAATTTGAGTGTGTTGCTACTAACCTCGTGGATTTTATGAAATTAGTTTTGCGAAAAATCTCATTATTGACTAACATTTCATTTCTTTCATTTGTGAAATTAAGAATAAAATTAAAACAAATGAGAAAGAATATTATATATACATGAATATATAATGGCAACATGTCAAAAAGATGTTTAAGTGCACACAATTGATATCAGTATTTTGAAGACATTAAACCATTTAATATATTTTGCTTATTTGGAGATTCTTCAAAGTTTGAAGTAATTGGAATAATGAAAACTAATTCAAGCATCAAACGTTAAATAACTAAGCCGAATATTTAAAAATACAAATATTTTGCACCTCCCACCAAAAGTACTTCAAATGAAATAACAAATAGTCCAATGGTTTTGAAATAAGAATTGAAATACTTTTATTTAGAATACAAAACCCAACACTGATTATAAATTATTATATTTAAATTCTAAAAATTAATTTTATACTGAAATTAAGTATTTTTCATTTAGCATCTTACTTGGAGAGTAAAAAATAAAATTGACAACATACTGAAAGAATATACCCCACCAGAGGTAAGTCTGTTTTATTTTTATTAGAAAAATAAATATTAATATTTTAATATCTTGATGCACAGTACTGACTGATCTTAATTAAAGCATTCCTATTCAATGCCGTCTAGAAAGACATTAGAAAGTTTTTAATGCGGCCAAATCTGGTACGGTGACGTTTTCGGACGTGCTAGACATTTTTGTAAAACTAGCACATGGCTGGAGCAGCAGCAAGCAACAAAAAAGTAGTTTTATTTGTAGGGACACTTAAAAATTATGGTTTACGACAGTGTTGCAAATTTGGACCCTCGAAAACAGTATGATATTGCAAGTGAGAAGCATCGAGTGGATCGATTAAGGGATGCTGTCAAATGTGCTATTTCTTGCTGTTTTGTTTTACGCTTTTGTTCAACGAGAGTGACCGAAAAGTTGTAAATTTTGGAAATTTCTGAGGACACTTGGTCCTAAAACGAATTAGTTAGAAAACAAATGACTATTAATTTTAACATATTTAGATTTTTACAGCTATGGTGAGAAACGTTTAAAATCTACAATGGCCCTGTCGCGTCCTTTGAGATATACTAGTGATGAGACAAAACAGGTATTCTACATTGACGGTATTGGCACCCTGGGGATTTGGCAATCCGCGTGTATGCACACTCCGCAACCGTCTTCGATTCCATCCATTAGCCACTCGTAGAGAGCTATTTGATTAAGTGCGTTGTTTTAAGATTTAAAAAGTAAAGAATATTTTATATTTTTATGTACGTTTCTTTACAAAGCTATATTTAATTATAATTTTCTTTAAAAGTATATTCGTACGATTGAAGAATATTTTGTGGTGGATGTACCGGTACACACCTGGTACATTTTATTTCATCGACTAAATTTTTATTTTATTTTATTTTTAATTGTAGCCCTTATACCGTGGTTAGCGATTCGGAACGTAATTGTGATATTAAAAATGCATTTAGAGAAGTCTACGGTTTTTACTGGCTTATCGAATAAACGATACGAATGGACCCTAGACCATCACTGACGCGCGATTGACCGATTGCCCCTGGATGTCAGCTTCTTACAGAAACACAGCTTCCCATCATCAAATGTCACGGTACGCCACTGGTATGAATGTGCCAATGCAGATTTGGGATGTGAAGTGTAATTGTTCTAGTATCCAATCGAGCCCTCTTATGACGTTCTATATAAAGTTATAAATAACTCTAGCATGTGTAAACAGTGGGGACTGATTTTTTGGGTAGCGAAATCATGATATAATGTTTGACAAGATAATGAAAACCATAAAAATGGTATAAGTTAAAGCTAGAAAATCATTTAAAAAAGAACCTTAAAAATATCCAATATATAAATAATAACACACTTGTTAAATACAGTATGATTTTAATTCGAGAATATCTGCTGCTGAAGCCTATTGAATTTAATGACGGAAGACCAATCAGAGGAGGGACAGGAGGGGCAACTTCCCCGGGCCTCAACTTGCCAACTCAATGTGTTAGAGAAAAATATAGGAGAAGGCAAAGCGATGTCATGGCTCGTAGAACGGCCTTAATTTTACAGTTAAATTTTCCCCAAAAAATATTCGAGAAAAACTTTTTCCAATTTTTAATATAGAAAACACTTTTTGCCTCAACTGTCCATAGCTAAAGCAGGTATAGAATTTATAATCAAACTAAAAGACCCCTAGCTGGACGATAAAGCCTTTTCAGCATCTGGCACCAGTAATACAATAACAGTATAGGCCTTTCTGAAATCCTTCTAAATGTAAAAAAATTGCATTTGCTCTTCACAATTTTATTTTAAATTTTGAAGGGCCTGTAAAATATTAGTTTCTCCAGGCCTCGCATTTTCTCTGAAAGGCCCTGGAGGCAAATCAGACACCCGATGGTACCCGTACAGTACATACGATACTAGGATAAATTATCTCAACAGGAGGTACCTGCAAAACTGTTTAACTCCATTAGTTACATCAAAAGTTTTGCTGAAAGGCATTATACAGGCTGTTTATAACAAAAAATCATCAAGTTATAGACGTTTTACTTTATATGAAATCTCATCCAGCTCAGTAACAGTGTTCATGGACTACAGTTTGATTAGATGTCGATAAATCTGTATTACTTCAGTTTAAAATTAGCAATAATAAGCAATTTATTGTATTTATTATTGTATCTCCCTTTCTGATATTAATGAGCCGTTTTATATGAATTTACGCCACACAATATATTAAATGCGAAACTTTTAAATGTCTAGCCAAATACAATGTAAATGGAAATAAAAGTAGGCATCTTTTAAAGTTTGTTTTGTTAACATAAATGTATATATTTAATATGATTATATACTGTACATTTCTAGTATGAGATTTTTTTTTGAATTTGTGTATGACTTTCAATAATAATTTTGTCTGAAAAACTATGTCCAAATTAATAATTTAGACTAAAGAAAAAGACAAAACATTTGCATGGATAAATGTCTTAAACACAATTATGCCAATAATTGTGTTTAAGACATTTAAAATGTCTTAAACACAATTATTGGCATAATTGTTAATAAATGCATAATAAACGCAAGTTTTTGGCATAATAAATGGAATGTCAAATATTTTGAATAAAACTTGATCAAAATATATTAGTATATCAGGCAAAAAAAAGGAAAAACCATCTTTAGTAAGATGAATACCATTAATAAATCAGAAAATGCTGTTGTGAAGTTGAGTTAAAGTTGAAATAATCAAATTTAAAAAAAATTTAAAATATTTTTTTTTTAGGTTTTAAGAAAATATTGGTCCCTGGGATTTTTAGGGTATGATCAAGAAAATTGCCCTCTTTGGTTATGTAGATATGGTTTAATTGACTTCAAAGGTAAATCTACCATATATTAATCATATTGATTTTGTTATATTTTTGTTAAAAAAACAACTTAATATTTCTTCAGTTTCAAAATAATATTAAATTCAATAATTATGTTAAATATAAAAAATATTTCCATAAGAACCAATTATAAACATGAAGTGTCATATGGCACAAAACCCCAATATAAGTAGACTGATCTAAGTTGAAACATTAGAAATGAATAATAACTTGCATATAAATAAATTATAAAGTATGTAGATGAAATACTATTTTATTTATATCAGGGGAAATGATTTTTTTTAACACAAAGAAATGTAGCAGAATGTCCTTATGAAGTTTATCTTTTGGATTGGCACCTAATTATTGAATTTAATTTGAAATATTTTTTAATATATAATAGTTTATAATCTGCAAATTTTTATTTTCTAAGAAACAGGTTTACAAAAACATATTTTTAATTGTTTTTGTTATAAAAAAAACTCCACTAACTCAGTGATAAGTATTGTAATGTAGTAGTTTACCTTTCTAATATTTAAAATTAGATTGTGATTTTGGTTTATTGATAGTTCTCTAAGTTCTGATATAAAAAACTTAATGTTTAACCAAAAAAATTATATTTTTTATACTGATTTGTGTAATTTATAATGAGATGCCCAAGTGTTACCAGTTTTTTTAATAATAATTTTGAGGAAATTAAATTACGTAAAAAACATTACCTTTTAGAATTATTTTGTTCTGAGATAAATAAATTTGTGAATATTTTAAAGGTATTATTTATTCTGCTAAAAAATCTGATGTAATTATGTTTTATGCATATTTGTTGGAATTGAGTGAATCTAAAATGAGAGAACAAACAAAAAAAGTAAGTATTATTTATTAATCATTACAAGATTCAATTACATATTTTGTTATATTACTCTGAAAGAAAACAGTCTATAAATACAGATTATCAGAAAACAGTCCTGTCAGAAAATATCTGCATATTTGTATTAATAACTCCACTGATTGATTTAAAAATAAATTGTGATAATCTGTTCTTTAACAATCACATCTATGGTAATTTTAGTGAATAATTTGTAGGCAACCTGCATCAACTTTTAAACTGATTATTTCTCAATTTAATGAATTTTTTAAACTGCAATTTAAAACAGCTTTTCCTTTGTCTAAACTTACCAAGGATATTAGTGGATACTGCAGAATGTATGCACAAGTTTTCAGCTTTTTTAAAAATGCTAACAAAATCCTTTCCTTGTCCTACACATTCATGTGCCAGTGCAATTTTTTGCCAGAAACCATCCAATGGTGCTTCACCTCTGTTTTTGTTTTATTTGACTAATCCACATTTTAATTGATATCATTAGATACAAATTTAATTAAATAGAAGTATCTTGAAAGCTGATAAATTTCCAGTAATTCCTCCTCTAAATAGTTCTCTGACTACTTATATACACTAAACTAGAAGTTAACTTCTCTATATATTTTTTATATTAGTTCTCCATGGTGAATAGATGCTAAGCAATCAATTCTTGAATCTGTTATTGGATATTGTAGAATGTATATGCAACTTTTTTAATACATGTCAAATAATTTCCATTATTATTAATGATTTTGTATATACTCAGACAGAATAAATAAACTATGAAAAATATTTCATAGTCAAATACTGCTAGCATCCTTAGTGTGTAAAATTATTTGAATTGTCGGAATTCACTTTATAGAAATAAAAAAAAAGCAATGCAATATATAAGATAAATTCAACAGTCAGTTTCTAAATAGTTCTCTGAAATGAATGCACTATATACAGAGGGGATAGAATTAACTGAAAATTTATTAGCTTTCAAGATATAAATTTAAGTAGATATGTCTAATAATAAAAAATTGAAGCATGGATTGACACGTGGAAAATGAACATTAGTGATCTTAAGATAAGGTTTGCATACAGTACATCTTTGGTAATTTTGGGGAAAAACCACGATGACAGAAATATTTATGCAATACACAAAGGATTTTTCATATTTTCTAAAGATGCTTTTTGCACCATTTTTACTTTGGTCAAAGTCACTAAGTTTTATATTGCCTTTAACAGATAACCTATGGGTTATCTACGTTAGATAGGATCATAATTTATATTGCCTTTAATTAAGTGTGAAAAAAGAATTATCATCTTATGTATTGATGGAGATGTAATAAATTTATCTGTAGTTATGAAATGAAAAACAAATAATATACATTCACTATTGCAAAAAACTGATTGTTTAGAATAAAACTACACAAAATATCGCAAAAAGAAATATAAAAATTATTTCTTTTTGCTGGTTTTTGTGGTATTTTGTGTAGTTTCATAATATACATTTGTAAATAGATTGCTTTCTTTTAGATTATTGTAAACATTAGAGTTCTTTGATAAAAATTCTTTTTAAACAATCATTTATCATCACAAAAAAAGAAAATTGCATAATTTAAAATTTAAATGTAATACATTTTATAATTTATATATAGAGCTGTGTTTAATGTTACCAGGCATTCAAAACACATTGATAAGATAAAAATTTATTACCCTCTTTGGATATTTAAAAGAAATACTGATATGTTCAGATAACATTCTGCATTCTGATCTATGTTGATGGACTCTTAAGTTTCAGTTTTATTTACAACAGAGAGAACTCGCTCTGAAAAATATCTTGCATAAAAAAAATGTATTAACACATTAATTGTTATTAAGAAAATTTGATAAAAAAATATTTTAAAATTATTTCTTTAATTCAGTCCATTATCATTTATGGCCATATTCACAACAAAGGATCAAGAGTTAGAGTTAAAAGTTACTAAAAGTAATTGGTAATTGAATGCTTATTGGTTAACTTCTAACTCTAACTTTTGATCCTTGATCACAAATATGGATGTGAATGCTATGATATAAAATTCTGTTTAAACAACATTATCAAAAAGCAGGATTTCTTTTCATTAATATGAATGAAACTTCACAGCATTTATATATAGGCCTATTATAGTTCAGAATTCAATTACAATAAATAAATTATGAAGTTATGTGTATAAATATTGTCTTTATACATGATTAATTTATTATTGAATGTTTTACAGACTGGAAAATTGGTTGATAAACATTCATATATATTTGATATGGAAAACTTTGTTCTGCAACAAGTTACTTGGAAACCTTGTAAGTGTAATTGCATTTGAAAACATTTAATGTCAGAATATTACCATTTCTGTTAAATTTTAATATCTAGAATATGATTATACCAAATTCTCTGGATTTATTTTTAATTTATGAAAAGTTGGCAACATTGCATATTCTATGGTATGTATGAAGGCAGTTTTTTTTCAACCTCCGATGGTCCGTAAAACAAGACAAGTGTAAATAGCAAAATGAATTTATTACCAAAAGTTAGGTACAAACATGGTTACTTTATGACATAATCACCATGAAGATTGAGGCGTTTGCAATTCCCTCTTCATAGAATGTTGCCACCAGTGACTTGAGATGCCCTTAATGATGATCTTCAAAACAACATTAATTAAAGGCTATCTCAAGTCACTGGTGGCAACATTCTATGAAGAGGGAATTGCAAATGCTTCAATCTTCATAGTGATTATGTCATAAAGTAACCATGTTTGTACCTAACTTTTGGTAATAAATTCATTTTGCTATTTACACTTGTCTTGTTTTACGGATCATCGGAGGTTGAAAAAAACTGCCGTCATATATATATAATTTTGGATAAGTGTCTAAATTATAGCAGAATTATAAAATATTGCTTTTAATGGAATAATAAATACAAAACAGTCGGAAAGCATTTGAACATTTTTTAATTTAACAACCCTTCTTCAGGAAGAAAAAGAATGTTCTGTTACTACAGTAATATCTCTCTGTTATATTAGTTAAAATCAACCAATTCTTGTTGATTTCTGAGTTTATCATAGAAGATTACATAAATAAATTAAATATTTCAACCTCCAACTAAGCAGTTGAACTTGGAATTTTAAACAAAAACATATAATATCACAAGACAGTTAAAACATTTGTAATTTGTGTTTTTTTTTTAATGAAAAGTACATGTGCTTATCGTCATCAGACAATACAACAGAATATGGATTCAAAATTAAACTGATAGAGTATTTCAAATTAAACCAACAGGGGAAAGGGAAAGGAGAAGTAATATTTATGTTTAACTAGGAAAATCCAATGCTCTGACAGGTTTAAGTTAAAGGCAAGGTTAATTTAAAATAGGTTGGTTGTGGGGACCAGAAGTTATATATTGGTTTGTTCGGAAAGTTCATAGATTTTTAAGAGAAATAAAAGAAACTGTTTTAAAACTAAAAATATACTTTTATTCTATTACATATGCACCGTTGTTTTTAATGATGTGTTGCCATCTATGGGGGAATTTCATGATACCTTCTTTGTAGAACTTTCCAGTTTTTCATGAAAGAAACTGTACCATGTGGTTTTTGCAAGCTTCCAAAGTATCAAAGTTTTATCACAAAGGGAATTCTGCAGAGAATGGAACAAATGGTAGTTCGATAGGGCAAGGTTGGGTGAGTATGAGGAGTAGGATAAACATCCCAGCGTAGTCCCAATAATTTTCAATGTGTTCATAAGGACAAATGCAATCTGGCATTATCTAGATGAAACACAATGCCTTTTCTTTGGCCAGTTCCAGACATTTTTCTTTAATTGCCATTCAGTTTATCCAGTTAGAAACTATACTTATCAGAATAAATTGTTTGATTCTGTGGAAGCAGCTCACACTACAGGATTCCTTTCCAATCCCACCAGACATTGAGCAAGACCTTCTTTGGAGTTTTTAATGGTGGTTCATTTTTCTTACACCATAATCATTTTCAGCTGATGTTATAAACAATCCACTTTTCATCAGCTGTCACTAAACACTTCAGAAAAGGATAATTTTCCTTTTGTTTTTCAAGAGAATCACAAATGGAGATGCAATCCAGTAAGTTCTTTTCTGTTAAGTTTTAAGTCATGAGACATTCAAATGTAACAATTCAAGTATCCAAGCTTCTTTAGATAGTGAAGTTACCAAACAGTACTGTATTTCAACATATCTGCAATCTCTTGAGTTGTGTAACAATGCTTTTCATCCAACAATGTTTTGATCTTATCCTCCTGAATAATGGGAGGCCTACCTGAGCAGAGAGCATCTTCAAGTTGAAATTACCCGCTTTAAATTTAGCAAAACACTCCCACCATAAACATCACATATTTCTTTCACTGTTCGTACAGCATTTTTGCTTTTACAATAGAAGAAAATAAACAAGTGACAAGTGTCAAAAATGCATGTTGCTTGCATCTATTTTCATGACAAGATAAGATTATTCAAATATCGTATAATTTAATGGATGCATCTCAAGGGTCTTTTTTTTTGTAATATTTGTTGGTTTATACAATTCTAATAATTTTCACATCAATCAGTGTCTCAACTGTCAGCTATCAAAAATCACTAAACTTTCTGAACAACCTCAATACAGTCGACCCCCTATAAGATCGTTGATTTTTCCGTTTTATCTAATTACATGTTGTATGAGTCACTTAGATTTTACAAATACGTGTGCCAGGCTGTGAACGGCTCACATATTTGTAAAATCTAAGTGACTCGTACAACATGTAATTCAGATAAAATGGAAAAATCAACGATCTTATAGGGGGGTCGACTGTATATCATATAGACTAAAGTAGGGTCAGAACTTGTTTGGGTAGATGTCCAATTATTACATCCATGATCAAAAGTATTATCTAATACTGAGTTAGCTAATTTTATTGTATGGTACATTTATAGTTAGAGCTCATTGTTATAGAACTTTTTATATTGATAACACATTTTAGATTTAGTTGATACTGTTCTGGACCTTGGCATAGTCTTTGATTCAAAGCTTTCTTTTAATTAAATATCATATTGAACAATAACTAAAAAATTTTAAATCTGTAGGGGTATGTTGAGGAGAAATTTCAAGTAAAAGTACACTTCAAGCTTTATTTTTTTACTAATGTACAATTGAACCCCATATAACACAGGTTCATATAGTTTGGATTCCTATATGATGGTGAAAAATTGCGACAGTATTCGTATAATTCGGTAAAACGTCATCACCGACTCGTGTCGCAACAGGATTGGCCGAATCTAGACCAATAGCGGATATTGTACAAACCATTGAGTTTAAACAAGCAGTGGACCTACTAAAAACTATTTATTATTTAACGTCCATAAAAATTATATTTATATTAATGATGTCTCCAAAGTTCAGCGAATTTTTCGCAAAAAAAAATAATTTATCAGGAAGCATGCGAGCGCCATTCGATGCGCCACTCCACGATGAAAACAAGCTTAAGCAATGGCATCATCGAACGGTGCAAACTCGGTAAGTAATCCTACAATTTTTTGTTTATAGCATAGTTTATATGGATTATTCCCAAAAAATTATACGTATTTTGGAAATGTTTAGTCGAATTAGTCCAGAATCGATTAATTTTATGGAAGAGAACCTTTCAAACAGCAGTAGTCCGTAAACTGCTGTAGTCCGTAAACTGCATACGTGCTGGGCTGTGATTGGCTCATGTATTTAAGGACTCTTAGAACATCAATTTCATAAAGAACAGAACGTATCTACCGTGTTATGGGGGGGGTCAACTGTACAAACTTTGCATAAATTTCATCCAGAGTTGGCTAAAATCTATTAGAGTAGAAGCAGGGGTGATGACCATTTGGGTAAAGCATAATCTATTTCCTTTTAAATAAAATTGCAAACCTCCCCTCTCCTAATTCTCCTGAGGTTGCCCTTGTGCTCTATTGTGGGTTTTTCTTATTTTTTAAATAAATTGATTATTTTGACAGAATATATTCTTATAAATATTTTAATGGTCTCCTCTCTTCTAAATTTTTTCTTTTATGCGTTCCTTCTTTTAATTTTAGAATTTTTACTTGTTTGTATTTTTTATTTGCCTGCTGTAACATTACACTTAAATTATTTTTCTACATATATCAAAAGACTGCTGTAATCATTAAATATTTATTCTTTCTTGATTTTTTAAAATCTAAATCCAGTTGTAAAAAACTTCTTTATGGTCATTTTCCACATTAAAAATTTTTANACAGAGTATATTCTTATAAATATTTTAATGGTCTCCTCTCTTCTAAATTTTTTCTTTTATGGGTTCCTTTTTTTAATTCTAGAGATTCTACCAGTTTATATTTTTCATTTGCCTGCTGTAACATTACACTTAAATTATTTTTCTACATATATCAAAAGACTGCTGTAATCATTAAATATTTATTCTTTCTTGATTTTTTAAAATCTAAATCCAGTTGTAAAAAACTTCTTTATGGTCATTTTCCACATTAAAAATTTTTATTAATTGTATTTTTAGTCCCATTTTTAACTTTATGGATTTGTTCTTTGTTTGTTATTGGGGTGTCACAAATAAATAAATTTTGCATATAAGATGTTCTTTTGATGCTATGATATATGCATGGTCTTGTTGTATTGAAATGTTGACATTAGTTGTATATATTAAAAAAAAAAACTATTGCCAACTAAAGCAGGGCCATAACATTATTATTACTTATTACATATTATTTACTGCTCTGTGCAACAACCTATTCTAAGCCTGCCAGAGCATTGGATTTCTCTGGTTAAAATGCTAAAGTAGATGTTGCTTTGCCTCCTTTTTCCCCCATTGGTTTAATTTCAAACCCATTTTCTGTTTTATTGCCTGACCACGATAGTTAAAACAGCACAGTGAAATAACTTATTATTAAATAACACCACAAGATAGTTGGATGTTTTGTTTGATATTAACTGCTGAGTATAATATCATCTTCACTATAATCTATGATTTTTTTAATATTGGAAATCAGTCATAAAAACGATTTTATATATATATATATAATCGTTTTTAAGATCAATAAGATTAAATTTTATTCCATAAATAGCATACATAATCTAATGATTTTATTTCAATTTTACAGGCTTTGATTTGTTATCCAAAATTTTAACATTTTATGAAGATAATTATCCAGAAAGACTTAAAGCTGCTTATTTTATCAATGGTTAGTTTCTCAAATATAAATTAATTATTTATATAACAAAAATTAATTTTCAATCAATTTGATTAAGTATGTTACTTAATCAAAATAAAATATTAGATATAATTATTGTAATCAAATAGATGAAAACATACATAAAATGTAAAAATAATTTTTGTAGAAAAGTGTCTTATTATCTATGTTAAAAATAGAGAATCTTATTAAGGAGTTGTATACATTTATAATTCTAATTAACTTCATTTTATTGAAAGCAAAAAATATATTTACATATATAACTTTGTTATTTAATGTAAGAGCTGGCATCTTGAAAATGATACTTATAGTCAAAAATTCACACATCTAAACTCCAGTAACAAGTTTAATAGAAAAACAACATTTTTGGCCAAATTAACTAGTCATCTTCAGTAACAATCTATCTAATACAAAGTTTGAATGTAAAAGAACAAAATATAATTAAATTTAACAAGAGATGGTGCCTACTACCGAATAACTTAGTAGTAATATAGCATCATATGATTTCAGCAAGCATTTGGCTTTAATAAACAACTATAGGATATAGTTGTTTGTATTTCTAAAAGAATAAAAATTTAAACAAACTTCATGTTCCATTATATTTAAAATGAAAGTGATATAGAATTTAAAACACAAAGGTAAATAAAATGACACTATAATATATATTTCATAGTTATTAATGTTTTTGTTTTTATTTTAATCTGCATCATGGTAATTGACACAAGTTTCCAACTTTTCTAAATACTTAAGAGAATTGTCAACATCAGTATATCTGATGATTTTTGTCTCACCTGGATTTCATGGTGGCAGGCATAAGCTGAAAAGACAATAATGTTTTTGACCAAATAGCTATTCTATTAAACTTGTTACTGGAGTTTGAAGGTGAGAATGTTTGATAATATGTTACTATTAAGAAATAGCACATAACTAAACTTAATTTCAAAATAGATCCAAAAAATTGTTTCTTATAATTTAGAACAATGGAAGCTAACATGTTATATTAATAACAATAACCTGCATTGTTTTGCATTAACCAACTTAAGATTGACTTATATTTTGTTATTTATATGAAAAATAAAATATTCTGATTAAAAATAATTTTTATGACTTCAGAATCTAAAATTCTTAATTATACAGATTATTCTAAACAGTAAGTTTAATAAACTTATAATTCTTTATTTCTTTTCTTTACAGCACCATTTGTTTTTCAAATTGCACTGGCATTACTAAAACCATTTATTAGTGACACGAGCTATAGCAAAATTCAAGTATTTGGAAAAGGTATGTCATTTTATAAATTAAAATTTCTTGTATAAAACTGTTGGAAAAAATTATATTAAAATATAATGATTTTAATGTGATATCACATTGAATTCATAACAATAAGCATCTTTTTCACTACCATTAAAATATCTTGTTTGCACTTGTATGCTAGAGCAGATTAGAAAGTTGTAGAAGTTCAAAAAATAGACAGCATATTACCAGTAAAAATGATTCTGTACTCAACCAGCATGAAATTGATCAACTGGTTGATCACCCCAAGTCTTTGCACATCTCAGGGCTGTTGTGCAAGGAGCACAAAGGCAAGGGATGAGTGATTTCTTCATGTGTCAATTCTGCAGGATTGCTTTCAGACAAGCACTCAGTTCACAGATGCACTTCAAAGGAAAGGATTTCAGCTTGAACAGTGAAAAGATTAAATGAAGCTAACATGATTGCAAGACAGCCTGCAAGTGGCCAATTTTTCATCAGGCAAACAGAATAGACAGGCTATAGTTTGCCAATGAGCATAGTGACTGAATGTGACTCCATTGCTCTACTGTTGTGTTCACTAATGAATCCTGATTTACTCTGTACACTCTAGATGCGAGTATGGAGACACCCAGGAAAGTAATACTGCATTTTGAATATTACTCCCAGCATAGCCTTTGGTAGTGGTTCAATAATGATGTGGACAGGCATAACTTTAGAGAGACACATACTGACCTGTGGTGCATCATATGTAGGGAGAGTCACTAACTTCAGCATTACATATGAAACATACTTGAGAAGTATATAATGACTTTTGCACTGTATGTCAGTGTTGAATTTCTGCTTCTGCACTAACTTATAATGCTAACCCTATGCTGCATGTATTGTTAATGAATACATGAACAAAGTTGTTATAAATTTTCTATCCTTGCCAGCATGAAGTCTGGACCTTAATCTCGCTGAGCATGTTGGGGAGACAGCTTTAAAACTATCCTATGACATGAAAAGAGCTTGAGTGTATGCTTTAAGAGGAGTGAAAGAACACCTCACAGTAAGATATTGCAAATGTGATTAGATCAATACCCACATGTCTCAATGAGGTGCTAAGGGTAACAAGGAGTTAAAAAAAAAAATTTTGTCTTCATGCATTTCCTTTACATTAGTTGTAATTTTTTAAAATTTCTTTCCCTTGCTTGTCTGTAATAATTTTTACAAAAACTCATAACATTATTGAAAATTTCAAGTGATGCAATAATTCTGTTCAGCAGTTTATATTACTTCCTGGAAAAATCTGGATCTGTTGTATTAAAGGAAGACCCAATGGCAGCTGTCCTAAGAAAGACTCAGAAGATACTTGCACTTCCAGTGGTGGTAACCACATTACATACTATATTTGATGGAGAATTAAGTGGACCATGTCCTAGGTTTTTTCTTTTTTTTTGAGGCCAAGATACACAAACAAGCATGGCTATTGCACCCACTAGTCAATAAGTGTTCCCACCCTACATATAGCATGCTTTGTGAATGCCTTCTCCAAACAATAACTTTAATGCCCATATTTAACTTTGTAGCTAGGTCTGCACTTGATGCTAAGGCATACATTACCGGTGAGCTTGCTTCCACTCCCACAACCTTGTACAGATTTTACAAAATTGATGTGGTAATGCTCACAAATGCTTTACTCCTTAAGGCTGGTTACTCCATTTTGCAGGTATTAGACTTGAGGGAAGTACTTTTTCTTATAACAAACTAATTACTTTCAATTTAACAGTACCTTTTACAAGCAGAAACATGGAGTGCCTATGGGCTCTCCCCTCTTTGCCACTCTTGTGGAATTCATTATAAGGAATGTTGAGTTATTGAGAATTGTCCTATACCATATGTAAATGATTATGCAATTATATATATGGGGAGTTCCAATGCAGTACAATCATACGATGTTACCTATATTACAAATCTGTACATGAGATTTCAGCCATGTTCCACATTCCCTGTTCAACTCTGGGTGAAGTTATAGTCAAGTGGAAGTCTCAAAGAACAACTGCAATACAACACAGAACTGGTAGATCCAAGAAATTGATGAAGAGAGATCATCATGTGATACAGAATAATTGGAAGTTCTCTGCTGAAACAATTGCTATAGAGTTCCAGAAGTGATTCTAGCACTATTACCATTCACAGAAAAATGAGGGTCTTGGTTACCATGATTGTGCTGCTGTTCATAAGCCAAATGTTGCCAGTATTAATGTTAAGCTCCATTTGGAATAGTGTAAAGCTCCAAACACTGGACCCTCAAACAATGGAAACATATCATATGGAGTGACAAATCTTGGTACTCACTCTGTCAATCAGATGGTTGAGTGTGGGTTTGGTGGATGCCAGAACTTCTGCTGACTGATTATATGGTGCCCACTGTGAAGTTTGGAGAAGGCTGTATCAAGATGTGGAGCTTGTTTTCCTGGTACAGACATAATACACTTCATTGGTACAAGCTGTCCTGAACTTCTGCAACATATGTTGACATTTTGATATAATTCTGCTCTACCAACATTGTGAGAACAGTTTGTCATGTTGGTAAAGGAAAGGACCTACCCCAATGTCACTTGCCACAAAGCAAAGTGTGTGAAGGAATGGTTTAGGAATGGTTTTAGCAGATAGAGGTTGTTGAAACAGACTGGCCTGCCTAGAGCCCAGATATCAATCCCATTAAACACTTGCATGCTGATTGCTCAACATCTGTGAGTGACCTCACCATTGCTCTCATGGAAGAATGGATGAACATCCTCCAGCTATCTATCAAAATCTGGTGGAGAATGGATACTGAACAGTTTCTTTTTGTTCTCATACACTATTAGTGTGTTTGTAATAAAGACATTTGTTGAAAAGCATAGGTGTCCAGATATTTTTGATCACATTGTGTGTGTGTATGTGTAGTGTTGTTTTATGATGAATATTTATGAGTATGCAAGAAAAACCACATTGACTGTATATATATATATATATATACATACATACATAAACCTCAGGATTTGAATGCCTTGCTTTTCAAACAAAATTTTGAAATCACTTTTGTTCCCTGTTGCATTATGATAACTTGGTTTCCAAACAAGCCATTTGGCAGAGTGGCTTGTTTGGCACTGTAGTATCCTCCTCTGAGAAATTATGAGGAGGATACTAATTGTAAATTAAAATTTAATATCAAATACAATTTTGAAAAGACAAGAATACATGAGATATAACCAACTGATGAAGGGCAATAAATCAGTCCAAAATGTACATATTGGTTTTTAATAAAATCCCGATCCAGAATAATTGGAATAATTCAAATTTCAAATGGATTTATCAGACCAGTTTTCAAATGGTTGATAAATTTACAGCAAATTTAAAATAGCTATTAAGATTTTAATTTAAATTAAAACAAAGTAATTAATCAAATCAATTGAAACATAATATTTTGGAAAGTGTGGATAAAGTACTTCTTGTCAGTCTTGACTGATTTGGTTATGTTTCGTCCAGGCAGTTGAGTCTCTATTTATAGCACTTCTTTGTAAAATGTTAGTTTTAGTTTAGATTTGGCAGTGATTGAACATTTTCATTTTGCTTTTAATATATTAATATATATTATTATATTGCTTTTATAGGCATTTTTATGCATGAATGCAGCTAAAAAGGTTTTGTTATATATATATATATATACACACACACAGGGCGCATAGGAAAGTCCCTTTAACTGGAAAATTCTTGCAAACGAAGAGAGCTACAGCTATGCAAGTGAGTAACGGTCTAGTGAAGTGACTACACCTGACCTAATGCAAACGACAGCAGCGCACCTAGTGGCAAAATTTGGAAGATAGGTAGTGCAAATCAAAAACAAAAACAGATAGAGCATCAATTAATTAGTACACACGGATAAGATAAATTGTCACCTGTATACCCAAAAATGTCCAAAAGTGATGCACGCCATTGTGTGTAAACATTTGAAAGGAATAGTCATAAGTATGAAGAAATACACACAATTTATTGCATAAAATATGTACTTACCAGTGGCGTGGCATCATTGGAAGAGGTGAATGCGCTGCTTCCCTTGTATTTTCTAAAAAAAATAAATACATATTAATTTTAATTATATGAAAATAATCGCACAATATTTTATTATAACCGCATTATGTATCTTATTACAAATTTCTATACTACACGTGAAAAAAAAGATAAGATTTCTATTGTATATTTGAATATTAGTGGCTGAGTGGAAGCACTGTATGTCAGCATCCAAAAAGCCTGATTCGTGCATGCGCTTTACAGAGCACCAACCTCACCCGGTTTAGCCGGTGGAAGCCTAGGACCTCGGGTGGATGCTATTTGTATACCGCATCCAATTCTATCCAGGACAGGTTCTGGGCTGTTGGCCGCCGTCGCCCGATTATGTGAATCACAAGTAGATTTATAACTTAACCCAAGCAATAAGAATTTACTGGTATGTTTTTACGATAGTTCTGTATAGTTGGCAGGAGTTTAAAAAAAAGCCATTAAAATATTTGATATTTTTATTCTGCTCTCCAATTTTATATTACTCATGGATTTCAACATTAAACCATTGATATTACGATTTCGTATATCCCATCTTTAAGGGTATGTAGAAAAAAAAACGTGTACAATTCTTGTACAATGTTAAAAAATTAACTATTACTCTGACAGCGTCATTTATAACTAAATTTAATGGATGAGAGAGATGCACGAGGTGCAGAAAAAGCTCTAGAATTTATTTTCCTTACATTTACAATTTATGTATCCATTTGTCATAAAAATTTGTCTTTCCCCTTTTTTCCCGAGACTACAAATATTTGAGTACAAAGTAACAACTTATTTTGACTTATTTCTACTTAAGAAGTAGTTAGGGAATTGGGGACATAAACAAAACCCTGATGAAAGAGCCAAAATTTTACTTAAACAAAAGTTTAACCAAACCATCTCTAGCCGAGTACAGTAGAGACTGATTTCTTCATAATATTAGATGTAATAAAGACAGAAATTTTTCCAGTTCAATGAGAGTGACCGAAAAGTTGTAAATTTTGGAAATTTCTGAGGACACTTGGTCCTAAAACGAATTAGTTAGAAAACAAATGACTATTAATTTTAACATATTTAGGTTTTTACAGCTATGATAAGAAACGTTTAAAATCTACAACGGCCCTGTCGTGTCCTTTGAGATATACTAGTGATGAGACAAAACAGGTATTCTACATTGACCGGTATTGGCACCCTGGGGATTTGGTAGTCCGTGAGTATGCACACTCTGCAACCGTCTTCGATTCCATCCATTAGCCACTCGTAGAGAGCTATTTGATTAAGTGCGTTGTTTTAAGATTTAAAAAGTAAAGAATATTTTATATTTTTATGTACATTTCTTTACAAAGCTATATTTAATTATAATTTTCTTTAAAAGTATATTCGTACAATTGAAGAATATTTTGTACCAGGTATGTACCGGTATATCCACCACATTTTATTTCACTAAGTTGTTATTATTTTATTTTTAATTGTAGTCCTTATACCGTGGTTAGCGATTCGGAATGTAATTGTGATATTAAAAATGCATTTAGAGAAGTCTACGGTTTTTACTGGCTTATCGAATAAACGATACGAATGGGCCCTAGACCATCACTGACGTGCAATTGACTGATTGTCCCTGGATGTCGGCTTCTTACAGAAACACAGCTTCCTTATCATCAAATGTTACCGCACGCCACTGGTACTTACGTCAAAAACTATTAATGGATTCAAGAAATAATTTGGATTTCACAATGTTGTAGAAACGTGATAGTTTCTTTTTATATTTGGAACCTGATGATGGATTGAATTGGTCAAAAACATTTCATTTAAAAAATCCTGTGAAACAAAACATGTCATTTAGAGCATATTTGATTATGTTCAGTTATTGTTTACCTTAGTTTATCATAAAAATACATATGGTAGGTAACATTAAAAATTTAGAAAAGTTTTTACATAAAATCAATTTTTCAAAATATGAATTTTAGATGATTGGAAAGATGTTCTTTTAACTGAAATTGATGCCAGTGACCTGCCAGTTCGTTGGGGTGGAACAAAAGTTGGAGTTAATGGAGAACCTGATTGTAGTGACATAGTAAGTAATGTTTTATCTCATTCTTGATATGCAATGGGCACAATAAATATAAATGATTTTTATCTTTAATTGCTATAAAGTTAATATATCTTATTACTATAGATTAGTCCAGGTGGGATTGTTCCTAAATCATATTACTTGCAAGAGAGTCAGAGTTTTACAAATGAAAATGATGTTGAAACATTAGAAATAGGATTAAAATCTTCTGCTACAGTTGATATTTACATTTCTGAAAGTGATGCTATTCTTCAGTGGGAATTCAAAACTGAAAATCATGATATTGGCTTTGGTCTCTTTTATAAGTCAAACGAACACATGCATCAAGAAGAACTTATACCAATAGATAGAGTTAACTGTCATCTTGTACCTGAGACTGGATCGTGGTTTTGCGAAAATGAAGGCATTTGTAAGTATATATTATTATAAAATTGTTTATAAGTAAATTTAATTTAGTATTTTAAAAAGTGAGATATCATTAGCTATTAACAGGATTTTAAAATGTGTTCTCTATATGATGAATCACAATTTCTTAAAAATTCAAAAATCTATAAACAATAATGATGAAAATGTAATATTAAATATCTTGACACAATTTGAAGTATTTCACCATTAGGACTTGGTATGTTAGAAACTAACATAACATGCTCTATATTTTTACTACAAATGAATCTTGATTGTAGATATTCATTCTTAATTAATCACAGGTAAATGTGACTACTACAAATTATATATAAATAAATTTATAGTTATAGTTAATTGTTTATATATATTGCTAGAATGTTCTATTTTTCTCTTGTCTTGATATGTTGCCTAGAGGAGCAATAAAGCTGGCAGGGGAGGGTGAACAAGAGAATATGGGACATATTTTCTTTGTNTTTTTAAATTATAAAATCACTTTTTATTAATATAATGCATAACCCAAACCTCAGAGTCTAGATAAACCAGTGCTTGTGCAACATCAGTTCTAGTGATATTGCATTTGTAGGCATTTTTATGCAAGAAATACAGCTAAACAGGTAAAAAAAAAGTTTTGTTCTGGGGCTGGGAACAGATTAACCCATTTTATGTTGTTTCTTATGGGAAGATTTGTTTTGGTTTTGGAACAAATTAAGTTTGAAACCTGAGGTTTTACTGTATTCCCAAAATTTGTAAGTGACCTTTAAATTTTCTTAGTGCTGTATTTTAAGCAAAATACAAGGTAATAAAGTATTTAAGATTTAAAGATGGTAATTCCCATGATACAAGATGTGGTCCTATGCTTAGCCTTGAGACATTGCAGTTTTTCAGAGCATGGTAGTGACCCCTAAATATTATTCAAAACTAACCAAATTTTACCAAAATTAATTTTTTCATAATGGAACAGATTCAAAACATGCCCATCCAACTTTTCAAAACTTAAAAATAAGGATCACCCTAGTGTGCATGCTTCTTGGAGACTTAACATCTCTAATGTGAACAGTTTGGAGTGGTCGTGTGTTCATTGTAATAAACAAAATACATTTATCACTTAGCATATAATTGTTAAATTTTGTAATTAATTTTATGCTTTTAATTACGCTTATTTTCATTGTTATTACGTGGGAAGTTTATTTTGCCCACTGTATATCACCTTATGTCTTTTATATAAAGAATGAAGTATACTCATTAAGATTACCATTGTGACTTACTTGCCAGTATATGATGAATTTAATTTTGTGGGTTCTTCCTTTCTCAAAATTAAAATTTGCTCTTTTTGATACTGCCCATTTTTTATACACCTATTAATAAAAATCTTGTGTTAAAAGCAAATGACAAACAAATTTTTGCTAAAAAAATGTCTAGACTGTAATTTAGAAAATGTACACAAATTATTTCAAAGAAATTTAAAGATTTTTTGGAAATGCATTGATAAGTATATCATATTATAGTTACTGTATTCAATAGTAGTACATTCTGCCAGCCATTTTTTCAAATTATTAACAATATGAAATTATTAATCATTTAATTCACAGTTTCCATATGTTTATACCATTTTTGTTTACTAAAGATAAATTCCTTGTCACGGACTTTGACAGTGTCCTGTATTGTTATTTACAGTATTTGCTGTGATGGAGACAGGCTGTCCAGAGAGTAACAGGAGCTTGGGGCAGATACATATTGGTCTCAAAAATCACAGACCTTAATAACAAATCTTTATTATTTATGAATTATTAAATATAATTATCACAAAGCTCATTGCACCATTACGCAGTCACCACATTCCTATTGGTGGCCACATTGAAAAAAAAACAATTTAGTTACTTGTATTTCATTTAAAGTGGCAGAATTATGTAACATCAGTTAAAGAAAGTAAACATTTTAAATTTTTTGAAAGTAAAAGTACAAAAAGTATTCACTTACCTGATTTTTTTTTTAATTTTAAGAAAAAGTTGTAAATTTTTGCTGAAAAAGTACCTCAATTTTTAAATCTTTGAACTATAGTCTGTTTGAAAAATTGAAAGATGCTAGTTGTTGATTTTAATGTCAGTTGAAAGACATTTTCCCCCCTTGTTTGAATATTAAAATAAAAGCATTTTGTCCCCATTAACTTGCTGCAATGTGCTCAGGCTTCAAAGTTTCAACACAAATCACTGTCAAATATATACATAAAAAGCAACATAAATATTTAAATATTACATTCTGGAAGCAAACTCAAATTTCTTTCTGCAAGAAAAAAAAAAATTCTCTTTTCTTGAATCAAGTAGTTCTTGATATTCACAATTCATATAATATTCAAAATTAAGACTTCAATCATCTAAGTTATTGAAGTCTTAATTTTGGATATTAAATGAAACTAATGGATGCATTGCAACTAGTTTACAGGAAAACTAATTACTAGTTCCAATGCTTCCATGACTATGGTCACTCTCAAAGAAATAAATTCACAAACAACAGTATATAAACAATGAATAAATTGTTAAAACAATCACATACCAATCAAATAGCACAAAATGACTGAAAAGATCATTGCAAGAATATACAGTTCCTAACTTTTCATACAATAAAAACAACTTTGCAAGCAAGGCAGATCTAATACTACAATGTGTATCAAAATCAACAATCTGATATAAAATTAAAACAGCTGCTACATGTGACAAGTCTTTAGAAACTTGTTTGTGCACACCATTTTATGTCCTGCACCTTGGTGGTTCCAAGCAGTCCAAGCAAGCATGGTCATAAAATCAATGCTCATAAAATTAAACTAGGACATTCTGCGACTTGTGTTGAATTGCAATAGAATTGAGGCAGAGCCAGAAATAAGTAAGGCAGCTTTTCACTTAATAGGCACAGAAGGGCAATCCTTATACCTGATGGTCGCAGACAAGCAAACTTCATGCTTACTGCCACAAAAGAGGCTATCCTTGTACCTATATTGTGGCTAGAGATTTGGCACCAGGGACAAACTGAAATATGGTGCCTTTTGGATAAGTCTTTCATTAGTCCATTACAAATTTTTAAATTATAAAATCACTTTTTATTAATATAATGCATAACCCAAACCTCAGAGTCTAGATAAACCAGTGCTTGTGCAACATCAGTTCTAGTGCCTTATGCATTTGTAGGCAGAGCCTTTCTAGCACTGCGAACCTCATGGAAATGAATCTGCAGACACATGAAATACAAGTTTAATAAAACAACCACTGCTGAAATACTCATACATGAAACTCATACTTCAAATGCTTCAGAGTTTGAAGTGTTAAGAAGTTTGCATTGAAAAAATGTGCATTTATGCTTCTAGCAATCTGTTTTGAGCCCAAGTCATCTCTTGCTCTCTCATGGTATGCTTATATGTTTTCAATGCTTTTTTCCCTTTATTTTTGGTGTCTGGTTATACAGTAGAGCGTCGATTTCCCGAATCAATTGGGGACTGGGGTTGTCCGGATAACTGATGTTTCGGATAACCGATTTACGTACGAAAAAATAGTTTAACATATCCCATGTCGAAATTTTTCTCCGTTGCGTGTCGCTTCACGTTGAATTTTTGTCGATGTTAAACCTAACAAACACTATTGTATCGTTAAAAATTATTTTTTTATTTTGTACAAACAAAATAAATATATTAAAAAATATAAAAATAATAAAAAATTATACTTCAGATGTTAATTTAGTATCAAAAACGTAAAATATTTGAGTAGCCCAAGACATAGCCAAAGATTGAAGCGCCACAGCACTGGCGAAAATTTAAATTTGCCGACTGAAATTCTTTCGGATGACTGACTTTCGGAAAATCGACGCTCTACTGTATATATAATTTCTATCTATTAACCATGGTATCCATGGAGCAACAAAGTCTAAAAGGTAGGCTATAATATCAATGATTGAGATGAAAAAGGAAGATGTGAAGTACAAATGCGTTACATGTGGCAAATTTGGCAGCCGACCATGTTCAAGATGCTGAAGTTGATGGTGTGCAACCAGTATATGCAATTTTCATTTTATTACATAATATTTAGTACTTTATTTAATGCTTTCATGTTTTTATTTATTATTTAGGGCATTTAACTGTGCTATTTTTATCTTAAATTATGTATATTTGCTGTTTAAGTTTTCAAAAAGAATATTGTTTAGTGTCTGGGAATGAATTACTTCACTTTCTGTTATTTCTAATGGAAAAAATTCACTTATACTTTAAATGACATCCTGGAATGAATTAAGTTTGTAGGGCACCACTGTATGTACAAAAATAATATTCATACTAAATCAGTCATTTTATGTGGGTTGGTTCTAGTTTGACACAGAACACAGAATTCTAACAGCACATCAAATCCAATCTGGCAATACTAGTGTAAAATTAAAATAGCTACAGCAAATAGCAAGTTAATTCAAAACGATTCATGCATTTTTGGCACCAGTGCCTATATGATAAATATGAATTCATACTTATTGGGCTGCAGTTTGAAAAAATTGTGCACCTATAAATTCCCACTTTTGTCTGTCTGTCTTTCCTTAATCTCAAGAACAGAGTTAGACAGATGAAATCCGAGACCAGATATGAAACCTTAGGAGCAGGCAGCTCCAATTAACTATATACAAACTTCCAACACAAACTGGAAGTCACATTATTTAAATTCAAAATTTCCCTCCTGAAAGCAGTTAATAGATGTCTAGCACAACTCTATTGTTAAAGGAAAAGTATGATGTACAGGAGCAAGTTGCTACTACTAATTTGAGGCGAAGAACATATATTTTAAATTAAATAAATTAAAATGATGATTAAAAATTGCAGCCCAGCATTACGACAATCTCACATAAAATAATTGCTCATTTTCATATAGATTCTGGCCAACTGAGTGCATGAATTGCATGAGTCAAGATACAAAAACAATCATTCAGTCACCTCGTACTTGCTTCCATGGAGAACAAAGCAATTGGCATTATCATTTATAATTTAATTTCTCAAGTCATACATACATGTAAATTATTAAATACTGCAAATTTTTGGACAATCTTTTCTGTATGTATTTATATAGTTAATTGTTGCACAAGAAAAAAAAAACATTTTTAAATTTGTTTTTTGCTAATTAAGCTGTTATAACTACATATATCAAACACTAGTCTTGCCATAAACACCAGACAAAAGTAATCACATTGTCTGCCTTCATTTCTGTAAGCCTAACAAACCAATTAACACTTACTCCAATGTATAATACAGTTAATGATTCAGTATTAAATTAATAATAAAACTGTCTTTCTAATGTAAAATAAGCAATAAAT